GTAGACGTTCCTCTGCTTTATAGCAAGTTATATGTATACATGCATACATACATACTGGGAACCTGTCTTTCTCTCTTTCTTGCCTGCCTGCCTTCTCCTTCTCCTTCTTCTCCTTCAGTCCTGCAACTTCCCTCAGTTTCTCCAGCTGACACCAAAATTTTTTTTTTTTTTGGTCAATCGCTGACACCAAAATTAACTCCTTGTAGTCTTGTAACTCACATAATTTTAACATAATGAATATCACACAATAGTTAGCCTACAACTTAATAACCAAACTGGTACCCTTAATCTGTTCCTGCATAGCATTCTACTTTGACAGTGTAATGTAATATGACATCTACAATGTAAAATCCAAACTTGTTACATTATTCATTAAGTCATTTTGTGTTATTAATTATAACTTTATCATTATTTTGTTGCTTTAGACTATAAACTTTGACAACTAAGGCTTGATTTTATCTTTACTTGTAATTTACATTGAATGTTAATGTCATGTTCTAAGATCATTAAACGCAAAGAAAGTAGCATAAATATAAATAACGATAATGGATAATTCTTACTATTTTGTTGCTTTATACTATATCAAGATGTTCAAAATGTAACAATCAACCTTAATGGTGTTACAAACAGATACCATTTTGTAACCTCACCATATATAGTCAATATTGGACACCAATACCCTGTCTTTTCAAAAGGTACAGTAGAATTTCCATACAAAAAATATGAATCAAATTGTTATTATTATCTTCTCTTGTACTAGTTCTAATTGTTCCTGGACAGATTAAACAAAAATTTTCTTTATTATACTTTATACAACAACAGGTATATATAATATTATTAAGAGGTGTCAGTCTGTCAGGTCAGGTTTGAATTGAGGAGTAACATTCGGGAGAGTGGATGGAACCACCAGGTCATCCCTTTTCCTTCCACAGGCCATACAGGGCGGGACCGCTACACCTACACACATAATTACTACTCAGACCCATCACTTATTCACATACACACCCATATTGAATTGCATGTTGTTGTTAATTTTATGAGGGCTGCTTCTTTTGGGGTCCAGATTCTCTTCGGATCTCCCCCTTCAGAATTCTTTACAAAACTCAATCCTAACCGTTCACGAAAAGATCATTTTGCGTGTAGCGTGAAAAAGAAGAAGAAATTAAAATTGATTCGTGGCCTGACAAATTGCATGAACGATCAGAATTAGAGTTTAGGAAATGATCTGAAAAGGGAGATCCGAATAGAGAATTCAAGTCCTTGTTATACACTTTGGTAAGGCATGACTTTTTTTTAAGGTAGAAATTTCACTATACAATAGAATCAGATACATCATTGTTCATGAATAATTCCCGGATTACAAACGCAAAAAAAAGACGAAACAAAACCCAACCCACATAACCACATCGTACCAATCAGAAGATACGCTCATGAGGGCAAAACCTTTGCAACACCTTCTGATACACTTGCACATAACGTTGCACCTTAGCAAAGAAGCCTTGCTATGAGACAATACAGAGAAGTCGACATAGTCTTTTGCCAGGCACATACAACAAAACCACAACCTAAACAAAATAAACCAAAAAAATGTCATAAATAGGGTAGAGTTGGGTTATATGCTCAACTTAATTTAATTCATGTATATAGTGAAGAATATAAGTATATATGGTTGGATAAGACATTAGATATGCATGTTTGAATCCTTCTCCAATACAATTACAAACCGTTTCTTTCTTGTATTATTAATTAATTGCAAGGGACAGGAACTGATTAAAGAAAACTAAATTCTAAGGAGAATAGGAGTACGAGATTCCGTGTCAGTTTAGCCATTAAACAATTTTAACATGCGCTCAGTTTGCCAAAATTTCTTAATTGATGCTTCAATTAAAAAACAATAAGAAGAAGCATCGATAAGATCAACCCTTAACAAGATCGAGCCTGAAGCGTATAGGTCGAGAAGTTATGGCTTAGAGACGCATAGGTAGAGAAGTTCTGGCATGTGTCCGTATGCTAAAACTTCTCATATAGGCCGAGGTCGGACCAAATTCAAATGGAAAAATAAGAATATTGGACCATATACTAAGCCTGCCTAAGACATGAGCCAAGAACAACGGGCTAGACAGGTCCATGTGAGTAGGTTAGGTGCTTCCTTGCACCCTAATTAATGTGTCTAATGTCTCAATCGCTCGCCTAACCAAAAATTGCTGACTGGTAGGTTAATTATCAAGTTTCAATGTACATATTGAAGAGAGAAATTAGCTACACATTTTGGATCAAGTTGAACTTGAAGTAGAAATAAATCACCAAGAGATGAGAACATCAATTCACCAAAACAGTGAAGCATATATTCACTCAAACTTTTTAATCATCATTAGGTCATTCAACAGTCTCTCAATGGCTTCATCATCGTGCCCACGTCCTTTCGTCTGCAGTTTGATCAGACAGGAGATTCATCATAATTTAGTTTTTGCAAACATACATACTCCATATTAACATAATAAGAAAAGTAAAGATAAACAAAGTTGCCATATAACGCTAAATACTGAAAACTAATTAAAAACCAAAAGGTTATCAAACGGGCACACGAAGTGGTGCGATGCTGAGATATAAATATTTGCCTTGTTATAACCTGAGATATGTAGACATGAAATATGAGATTTACAACACTACCTTGAGGGAAGGCACAACTGCCTTGGCTTCCTCCACAGTTTCAGGACAAAGATTTCCAATCACAGCAAGCTGCGGAGTAGAGGAAATATGAAGGCTATTATCTAAAACAAAGCGTAATTTATTCTTTTGATTATTCGTCCATTACCTCGAATTCAGCCAACTGGTATCTACTGAGAACTCTGAATAATACTTAAGGATTAAACATGTATGAATGATATAAAGTGAAAAGAAGAAGACTATAATTAAATTAAGAAGTGCAATTAGATAACCTATATTAATATTAAGTTTCTCCATTATAAGGGCATTACATGCTTGTATTGAACCAACATGAATCCTAAAGATTTCACCAGACCATACATAAACCAATTCATCAGTGTGACGATATCTGAAGTTACATCATCAATGAAGGATACTCTCGAACTTGCTTCACAGAGCCCTGATTCGTGAAGCGACTGAAGCGCTTAACATACTGCAGTGATTTCTCCAGCACTCTGGCCATGAAAATAACAAGTGATTAGTAAATTTATAAGCCTGGACAAACAAAAAAATTGACGATCGAGCACCCTTTCTATCTACCAGCTAACTATATATGAACTGATCATCCATAATTTTACTAAATTTTGGTGTCAAAGAGTACTAGAATTAAATCTTACTGGGGAAGTTGGTGCATTGATTCGCCGGACATATGCTTCATCTGATCACATCTGTGCTCAAGAAGAATGGCAACCTCACTATTCATCAGACACTTCGCCTTCAAAAAATCTGACAACGACAATCTCAATGTAAAACAAATAATGACCAGATATTACCCTAAAATTGAATACTCAAACTAGGTTTACAATTGAATCCGGTGGTAAGTTAGAGAAGTTTAGTGCTTGAAGGTCCAAAAAGTGATGCTCTAGCGTGTTTTCTTCAAAGAAAGATAATGTCACGGAATAATGTTCATCTTTACACAAATTCAATTAATGCACACAAACCCTAGATAAAAATATATACTCCATATCCTTCGTCTCACATCTTAAATTATTATATCATTAAATTATGAACGCCATTGTTGTACAATGTCACGTTTACAGTGCCTATCGGTTTTGTGCCCTTTAGATTTTGATACACAAAAGTTTATGCCTAGGTCATGACCGAAAACCGCAATCGCAGCCAATTAAGAACTTTGAAAGAAATTGATAATAATGAATCAGATACCGTCTCCAAGTTTGAGTTCTGAAGCGTCCTCATCTTCTGCTCTTAGCATTTTTGAGAGAGCTATGGACGTTTGTTTTTTTACCCCAATTAGATATGCTTTCTGGAACGTAAGCAAATCCCTAATGAGGAATTGAATTCTGTATTTGTGGCTTTGGGCTGTTATATAAAGCTCTCCATTGTCCGAACCGACCTCAGTTTTGGGCCGACTAAAACAATAATAATTCGATTTTGGGTTTTAACGGCTGAAGAAGGCCTACTTTAGCTCACATATTAGATTTTGGGCACCCAAAACATTAACCCTTTAGCTTATGACAACGTCACAACCCAAGTTTGGTTTTAGGTTTATAATCGAATTATGCATGTGCAGGTTAGGTCTAGTTGATTAGAACAATATGTCTTTCTTTAACATCTAATTTTGTGTACCCATCCTTCGGATTAAATAGTTCTTTACTTTCATTACACATGATATTCTTACCCTAAGATAGATTAGTGGGAGAGTGGTGAGCTTTTAACACATAACAAAATAGATTGAAGAAGAGTACTTTATCCATCACGATGATCCACCACTTACCCAAGTAATAAAGTAATTTAAAATATCGTTTTATCTATAAAAAAAAAGTTAATCAGATTCTTATGTAATGACATAAACGTATAGACTAGAGTTACTACAACACGTATTCTTATTGCTTTTCGATTTTCATAATCTTGAAAGCGTGAAAAAAATTTAAAAATAAAACGTCATACGTTGCTGTATTATTATTGCGCTTCGCTAATTAACGATACGAGTTTCTGATTGGTCCGGACATAAATATTCATCCATCCAAGGACCAATCCAACAAGTGAAGGATATTTTGGCCAACTACTTTGGAGTTTGGAGACGATGACATCTGCCCTGCCTGCAGTCCTACGATTGGGGAGGCAAACTGGTTCTCGCCGACCTTGGATTTGGATCCTCCGAATATTCTAACGGTTCCAACATATATGCCCGCGCATATTCGCATCTCGTCATCCTATCTGTGACGTCTGGATCGTTATCAATTCCTTTTCTGTTTTGGTGTAATAATTGACTCAAGTTGCAAAACCCTAACATTATCTTGGAACTGCCAACCATTTAGAATCCATGAAACTAAATATTCTCATCATGTTCTCCCTGCCAAACCCAGTCAAATTTAACCAATATTTTATACACACAGAATCTGCAAAAACTAACAAATATTTCAAATTAACTAACATTTACGTGGCAAACTGTATGTTCCGATATTAGAAGAGATTTCAAGTTCAAAATTATGACAACTTGGTATTTATTTCCACCAATTCATGAGCCAGTGAAAATATATTCCATGTTCAAGTTTCTTGAGCGTGACTTGGAGAATATTCTTCAGTATTCCTCACGTCGTATCGCGGAATTCAGAGTTAAGTGGAACCTAATCCCAATCCTTTTGCATCATCATCTTCATAATTATAATTAAGCATCTTTGTCTCCTACTTAATTATCAACCTTGTTGTATATAAAGGCAGTGGACTGTGACACTTTAATACAAGGAAGAAGATTACCCCCAAATATTCATCGAGTCTATACTTTTTGCCTCGTTCATATATACATTTGGTTCGATTTTTCTCATAAACTCCATAGCCATCCATGGCTATTCCTTTTAAAAACTATAGAACCTCTATTTTTTTCTTGATCCTCAGTTTTGCCCTATGTCTGGTAATTACATCCGCAGAACTGCAGAGATTCGACCACCCCACCAAACAAGATGGATCACTCAGCTTCTTGGTGATTGGGGACTGGGGAAGGAGAGGAGATTTCAACCAGTCTCAAGTTGCCTTTCAGGTTCCTTTCCACAATTTCCAAACCTTGTTCTCATTCGTTTAACATTCTTCTCATGATTTTCGGCGGAATCAACATTTTTGGAGTGCTAATAACAATTTTGCTTTGGCACATGCACAACTACTTTTGTTGCAGATGGGAAAGATTGGAGATAAACTTAACATAGATTTCGTGGTGTCGACGGGAGATAACTTTTACGACAATGGGCTCATCAGCGAGCATGACACAGCATTTGAAGAGTCATTTACCAAAATCTATACAGAAGAGAGCCTGCAAAAGCAGTGGTATAGCGGTAAGTTTCTCCTGCGATGATGTGAAGAGTTGTCTCACGTTCGAAAGTTAATGAAAAATGCTTATTGTTATATTAATCTTATTTTTCTTTTTACCTTGTGTTGACCCTAGAAATTACAAAGCCTACGTGGCGCGCAGGCCAAGTATATTCTAAGCTAACTACGTCCTTCGGTGATTGCGGGCGTGCCAACTCGTCGGCCGAGGCTCGGCCGAGGAGTAAATTTGATGATGCTGCGTTGGGTCGCGCTACTGACTTCTGCGTCTTGCGATTGCGGCCGAGAAAGGAACACGTCTCGGCCTCTTGGGTTCTCGAGCCTGAAGACAAGGCTGCTATTTCTTACAAAGTTCACGAACCGAATTCGGCTTGCAATGTGCCGAATGTAATAACTGTGACACCTCACCTCGCCGAGAAGGCTAATGAGATGACCTCGACCAACAAGGATTCGAAAACCCTTCTCGACCGAGACTTGGATAGGTAATCGACCGTTCTCGCCGCAGTGCTGTTGATGCCAACGGAAGATACTGCGAGACCGACCAACTCTACAGTGACAGAGCTATCTATGCCGACTTAAGATATCACCGGTTGCTTCCACAGTGCTGTTGATGCCAACGGAAGATGTGTCAGCGAAAAAGGAAAAGAAAAAGATCTCAAGTTGTGAGAGTTTGCGCAGGGCAATTTTGTATTGATTTTGTGGGTCCTTTTTCTGATGCAGAGCGCCTTGTACTTATAGTGATCAGTTCTTGCTAGGCACGGCCTGGTAACTTCATAGAGTTCATTTGTAACTCAAACTTGTGAAAAGAAATTTGATATATCAGAGGGCTATCCTTTCAAACTGTCGTGCCTTCTCAAACAAACCAAAAGTCTATCAAGACTTATCACATCATCTGACCAAATAGTAATAACCACTATTATATATATATATATATAATAGATATTTTAGGAGTTGGGAGCTTTTCGTACGCACGGCATAGCCGCATAGGCATGCAGGCCTAATATATATATATATATATATATATATATATATATAGTAGATATCTGAGAGACTTTCGCACGCACAGCATCTCATCATACTGATCATCCCATTCCAACCTTGTAGAATTTCTCCACACGGTTCTTAATAATAATTGAAAATTATCTCAACCACTTTATCATCCCACGGTCTAGAACTTTACTCATCTAACGGCCTTGACTGCACGGGCCGATAGTGTAAATTTGGGTCCAAACATTGCCCCCCAGTTTCCTTGAGCTTCGGCTCGTAAGCCGAATGGTTAAGGAAATTAAGTTTCTCCAGATGATCAAGAGTACAACAGCACCAAATGAGACAAAGTGGCCGAAAAGAAAGCACCCAAAGAAGGACAAGGATTGTCTGCCCAAAGAAACTGTAATTTGGCCATGAATTGAACTTGTGTCAGACATTACTCATGGCATCCCACGCTCACAAACATGTCCTTTTGACCGAGTCTCCACCTCTCTTTTGCTGCTGTCTTCATCGAGGCCGAGGTCGAGAAATATTTGGAAGGTCGAGACAGATTGTTGGAGCTCGGCCTGCCTATACATATACATATATATATATATATATATATTAAACTTATTGTACTCTGCCAAACCTTTTCATTTGGCCAAAAGCATTCCTTCGGGCAAAAGCTGCTTTTATATATATATATATATATATATATATATAATTAGCCTGATTGTCTGATATGATCGGCCAGCCATGCAGTTGGCACATATAAAATATATATATATATATATATATATATATATATATATATATATCTTTCCTTCTTGGTAATAGCACCCCAAAGCAAGCTGTAAAGCAAACTGCCATGCATCTCCATCACATCTTTTCTTTTCTTTCTCTCTTTTAGTCAACCACTTTTGCCAAAAATACCTGCCACCCTTAGGTCTAGGCTTTAGGCTTAAAGCCTGTCTTCAGTTTGGACCTTTCAAAGTCCCATGCTTATATATATATCCATGACAATTCGGCCAAAAGCATTCATTCGGCCAAAATGAATTTTTTTTTTTTTTACATATATATATATTTCGGCCGAGGCTTTGTTTTGTAATGGGGTCGAGGCCGAGGCTTTTGTAAAGTAGCCGAGGCTTTCTTTGTTTCTTTTTCTTCTCGGCCAACTAATATATATAAGCTTGGATTGCCGCACTCTTGTTGCCCCCCTTATTTTCTTATGCATCGGCTTACTTAGCCAGATAATTAAGAAAATAATTTATTCTTTTTTTATTTTTTTCTAAATGGAAATAAAAGTGGCCGAACCATAGTCAGGAGGAGGCCAACAATGCTTTATTCCAAGCCGAGATCTTGCAATAACAAAATTTTGATTTCGCCCTAGGCCGAATAAAAACTTTTCCCCAAATATTTTTGACTTGGCGAAATATTTTTCATTTTCGGCCGCCGAATATGTTAGACAATTATTATGCCCCCCAGGCATAACTTCGGCTTTTAACTTGAATAACTTAGCCGAATGAGATATCTCTACATCGGCTTTATCGCCAATAACCATATCGACTGTCATGGTTTCGGCGTCTAGGACCATGTCTCCAATTACCATATCAATTGATGTGGTTTTATGGTCAGAAGTCATGGGTTGGTCTTGTTCGTCATTGGAGCACTCCTCTGACGAATCATTTTCTGAGTCAATTTGTGGCTCAGAAATTTGAACTTTTTCTTCTAGGCCTACCACACTTTCAGCCTCGACCGAAAAAATAGGTGGCCTTTGTTCTTCGGCCAAATTAACAATTTTCTTAGGCCGAATATTGGTTGTGGCCGGAGTGGAGATTTGCCCCCCGGCCTCTTGCCTTTCAGAAATTCTTCTCAAACTCTCGAGAAGTTGTTTTTGCTTCTTTAATAGGCGATAACACTCATCCCTTGAAGCCGGATCGAGATAGATCATGTGAACTTCGTAGTTTAGCACTGGGTCCCACTGGGCGTGCCAAAATGTTGACCCTAGAAATTACAAAGCCTACGTGGCGCGCAGGCCAAGTATATTCTAAGCTAACTACGTCCTTCGGTGATTGCGGGCGTGCCAACTCGTCGGCCGAGGCTCGGCCGAGGAGTAAATTTGATGATGCTGCGTTGGGTCGCGCTACTGACTTCTGCGTCTTGCGATTGCGGCCGAGAAAGGAACACGTCTCGGCCTCTTGGGTTCTCGAGCCTGAAGACAAGGCTGCTATTTCTTACAAAGTTCACGAACCGAATTCGGCTTGCAATGTGCCGAATGTAATAACTGTGACACCTCACCTCGCCGAGAAGGCTAATGAGATGACCTCGACCAACAAGGATTCGAAAACCCTTCTCGACCGAGACTTGGATAGGTAATCGACCGTTCTCGCCGCAGTGCTGTTGATGCCAACGGAAGATACTGCGAGACCGACCGACTCTACGGTGACAGAGCTATCTATGCCGACTTAAGATATCACCGGTTGCTTCCACAGTGCTGTTGATGCCAACGGAAGATGTGTCAGCGAAAAAGGAAAAGAAAAAGATCTCAAGTTGTGAGAGTTTGCGCATGGCAATTTTGTATTGATTTTGTGGGTCCTTTTTCTGATGCAGAGCGCCTTGTACTTATAGTGATCAGTTCTTGCTGGGCACGGCCTGGTAACTTCATAGAGTTCATTTGTAACTCAAACTTGTGAAAAGAAATTTGATATATCAGAGGGCTATCCTTTCAAGCTGTCGTGCCTTCTCAAACAAACCAAAAGTCTATCAAGACTTATCACATCATCTGACCAAATAGTAATAACCACTATTATATATATATATATATATATAATAGATATTTTAGGAGTTGGGAGCTTTTCGTACGCACGGCATAGCCGCATAGGCATGCAGGCCTAATATATATATATATAGTAGATATCTGAGAGACTTTCGCACGCACAGCATCTCATCATACTGATCATCCCATTCCAACCTTGTAGAATTTCTCCACACGGTTCTTAATAATAATTGAAAATTATCTCAACCACTTTATCATCCCACGGTCTAGAACTTTACTCATCTAACGGCCTTGACTGCACGGGCCGATAGTGTAAATTTGGGTCCAAACACCTTGATAATAATTATCCTTGGTTTACTTTGAATGCCAGTGTTGGGGAACCATGATTACAGGGGAGATGCAGAGGCTCAACTGAGCCCCCTCCTCCGGAAAATCGATAGCAGATGGCTTTGCTTGAGGTCTTTCATTGTGAATACAGGTGTGCATAACATAAGAGCTCTTGAGTTTCCTTCTTTTCTATACAATGAATTGAAATCCCTGGAAACTCGATCAAAACTTCATAAGCAGTTGCTTCCTATATCCTTTTTCCTCCAGAACTAGCGGAGATTTTCTTCGTGGACACCACGCCTTTGGTGGATATGTACTTCACAAACGCAGACGAACATACTTACGATTGGCGTGGCATTGTCCCTCGAAAGGCTTATATTGCAAACTTGTTGAAGGTATAATCAAATTTCTGCTACCATTTTGAATTTGAATGTTGCCTAAAATGTGAGAAACTTAAAACGCATGGCAGTGCGTATTTAGCGTGGGAAACCACCAGATTGACATCTTAGTGAAAACCATGATGCATATTGATACATCTGATGTGGTAATAGGATGTGGAGTTTGCATTGAAGACATCCCCTGCAAAGTGGAAGATTGTTGTTGGACACCATGCAATTCGAAGTGTAGGGCATCATGGTGACACACAGGAGCTTATAAACCAGCTTCTCCCAATCCTTCGGGTATGTATTTCTATAAATCTTCGATAAGAATAAGTTGTGATGAAACTATGTCATATGAAGAAAGCTAACTCTACTAAATCCTTCATAAATCTCAGGCCAATGACGTTGATTTTTACATGAACGGGCACAATCATTGCCTAGAACACGTTAGCGACTTAGAGAGGTACAGAAGTTTAATTTAGGTAGTTTTCATGGTGTTGCTTAAAATTGGAAAGCCTTGTTTGGTACCTTGGACTGGATATTGGATAACTCGCTAGATTTGGAAGTTAACATTCATTTCTTGCTTCAACACATTGAATCTGGTGGTGATTATCCCATACAATCCAATCCTAAGCACTAAACGAGAGTCATGAAGTATAAGCTTAAGTAACTTGTATGTGACCCCACGACGGTGATGCTGATTGAAACTCGAATGTAAATGCAGCCCGATACAGTTTCTAACAAGCGGAGCAGGGTCTAAAGCATGGAGGGGAGATGTTAAGGGGCTGAGCAAAGAAGGGCTCAACTTCTTTTATGATGGTCAAGGCTTTATGTCTGTGAAGTTGAATCCCACAGATGCAGAGATTGCATTTTATGATGTTTTTGGCAAGGTTTTACATAGACTGAATGCTTCCAAGCAGCTTCACCCCTCGATATAAATTATGTTTTTTAGCTAGATGCAAGAGGGAATGTACTAGAGCCGAATAGATTGTAGTTGCAAGGCTGAAAATTGTAGTTGGATTCAATTCTCAAATTGTTCTTATTCTTAAATATGTACCTTATTTAGTACATTGATCCTTATCAAAATCGTCGGTTTTTTTTAACAAGAAGATATTCAAAATTACTTTAGGGTATGTTTGGATGAGGGTTTAACAAGACTCAAGGGATTGATACCAAGCTATGAATAAATAGACCACAAAATATAACATGGAGGGAAGTAGAGAAACTTTTCACAAGCATTACAAAAGCATGTGAGAGGAATTCACAGAACCGTACTTGGGAGGTGTCATCTATGAAACCCTCGTATATGATCTTGTAATGCTCATGGAGAGTTTCTCTAATTCCCTCCATGTTACATTTTATGGTCTATTTCTTTATAATTTGACACCAATCCCTTGTGTCATGTAAAACCCGTTGAATATCTTATATGTATTATGTATGTGTATCAACTGACTTTATGTATTATTATACCCTTATTTTCTGCTATCATGTGCCAATTCTGGGCATATCTTAGAATCGAGGCATGACTTGATTAGAAACTAGAAACACAAAATCAAGACATCATTTCAGTTCTTCCTGGCTCTATCACAAAATATACTAAGACGTGTTACCAAGATATTTTTAGTATTTGTACGGCTCAATATAAGTCATGGATGTGGACGAACTTAGGTGCTTAAGTTGATGTCGAATTATTAAGTTTGAAACAATATCAGTACCAAATCGAATATTATAATAGGTTCACGTTGATTTGTGGCACAACTTAAGTATTAAAATGGTTGTTTTATCATCAAAAGACAATTACATACCTAGTGATTTGTAGAAAAGCTTATGCATCATGCATTCATTTTCTTCTGTATATTTGGACTTGAGCTAGCAAGTGATCGGTGTAGGACTGTCACTTGATTGCCAAACTATGATCCCAAAACCTGAAAGTGAGAGAAGAGAAAAACAAGATGTAGGAAGTTGCCAGGAAATTGGGAAGGTAGGAAGTTGCTAGGAAATTGGGAAGGAAAGCAACCCTAGGAGGCTAGAACCTAGACTTATCGATGGGACCCAGCAACATCACATTTTGCACTGCAGATGCCGACTGGACTTGGAGTAACTTTAAACGGATCGGTAGGGGGTCTACGTAGCATTCACTTTCCGTTGTCTACATTTGCCTAATTCAGAATCTAATTGCATTACACACTCATTTTTAATTCTTACACTCTTCTCTTAATCTTTGACAGTTGGATTGAATGAGTTGAAGAAAATTAATGACAAAAAATTAATAAAGATGAGTGGAAGGTAAATGAATGTGTGAATAGTACTATTTTATGAATAATACTTGTGTGCTCTGACGGGAAATGCATATATACACGTCTTACAAATAACATATCTTAATTGTATAAACTCTACAATCAGAATCGTTCATCTTCTTAATCTTTCTTTGAATATCATTCTTACAAAAAAGTTGGAATAAGAGATCAGTTAGTCAATTAAATGTATCAAATAATTAGACGGCTCATCTTGAATATGTTTCTTGGTACTTACACCATCGATCTATTTCATACATTTGAATTACTAAATTATTTTTTATTCGAATACTTTATGTAGGAATGATAGTTAAATAAAGATTAAGTAATCCAACGATTCTAATTATAAAATTTATATAGTAAATATACGTTATTCGAGAGAAATGAGATATGTATATTCCAAAAGAACGTAGGTATTATCCTTGCATTATTACATTGGTAAGAGAGTTTTTAGTGTGTCATGAGCACGGTCCAATAAACCAATTGTTACGATACAAGTGGTTGAATACTTATAAAAAAGAAATTTCCAATCACTTGTATTATATACTTAGTGTACTAAGTTGTATTTTCGGCACACTAAAATTTTTCTCTTACATTGCCCTCACAACAATAATTCATATTAATTAAAGCACTCTCTCTTTATATACAGATAATATAATATACTCAGCGTTTTACTTTCTTTTAGTTCCAACTTCTAAAACACAGAAACATAATATTGGCTAGCCGATGTCCATAGCCATGGGGTTGCTGTGGGTGGTTGTTTTCATGAATATTATTTGGTTGAGCTTTGTTTCTGTGTCGACGGCGGAGCTTCAGCGATTTGAGCACCCTGTGAAACCTGATGGCTCACTCAGCTTTTTGGCGGTTGGTGACTGTGGTAGAAGGGGTGGTTAGAATCAATCTCAAGTTGCTTTTCAGGTTAACTTTGTAAACTATATTTCTTTACTTTGTTGTTCTTAGGTGGAATCTAAAGGTCTTCGCCTAAGCCGATCAAAGACAGAATATATGGAGTGCAAGTTCAGTGCAAATGGAGGCCAAAACGAGTTAGGGGTGAGGATCGGAGATCAAGAAATACCAAAGAGCGACCGTTTTCGTTACCTAGGATCTATCTTGCAAAAGAACGGAGAATTAGATGGAGATCTCAACCATAGAATACAAGCTGGATGGATGAAGTGGAAGAGTGCATCCGGCGTGTTGTGTGACCGCCGTATGCCACTGAAGCTCAAGGGAAAATTTTATAGGACGGCAATAAGGCCGGCGATGCTGTATGGCACAGAATGTTGGGCGGTGAAGCATCAACACGTACACAAAATGGGTGTAGCGGAGATGAGGATGCTTCGTTGGATGTGTGGGCACACGAGAAAGGATAAGATTAGGAATTAGGATATCCGAGGTAAAGTAGGAGTAGCCGAAATGGAAGGAAAGATGAGAGAAAATCGGTTACGGTGGTTTGGACATGTGCAAAGAAGGCCTACTGACGCTCCGATTAGAAGATGCGACTATGGGACAGAGGTTCAGGGCCGAAGGGGCAGAGGAAGACCTAGGAAAACTTTGGAAGAGACCCTAAGAAAAGACTTAGAGTACTTGGATCTAACGGAGGACATGACACAGGACAGAACACAATGGCGTTCTAAGATTCATATAGCCGATCCCACTCAGTGACTTGGATTTTCCAAGTCTCCAACCAAGAAGTTTTTCCTCACTCGGGAAATTAAGGGAACACTACCTCAACCTATATGCTCCACTCACAAAGCTTCAACATACAAGCTTCAACAAAAGAAAATTCAAAGAACTTAGCGAAGAAGGCTTTGGTGTATTTAACACAATACGTTGAAATGAAGGAAAGCTTATTTATTGATATCCCCGATAAGTTACAAATATGTACATATACTTGAGTCAAAATAAACAAACAAGAGGGAGCCTTCACAAAGGTTGCTTAGGAGAAGTCTCAGCAGGCGGTAGAGCCCCAGAAAGAGAAGGCACCGGAGGAGGATCATTCGGAGCCTCAGTACTGGACAAAACCCTAGAAGGAGGAGGCATCAGAGGTTGATCATTTGGAGCTTCATTACGCGGTACAGCCCCAGAAGACGAAGGCAATAAATGCCTTTGGAACAAACCCACAAATCTCTGATGATCAAGTAAAACCTGACTATCAGATTCCTTCATCTGGTCAAGCTTCCTCTTCATGTTTGTAGCATAGTCATGTGCGAGCCGGTGCAACTGTTTATTCTCATGCTTGAGCCCTCTAATCTCCTGTTTGAGACTCATCACTTCAGCCGCCAATGATTCAACTTGGCGGGTTCGAGCAAATAGGCGTTGGGCCATATTAGACACAGAACCTGCACACTGAACACTGAGAGCCAGAGAATCCTTAACAGCCAACTCATCAGACCGTTTGGAAAGTAGTCTGTTATCTTTGGGAGTGAGAAGGTTCCTGGCCACTACCGCAGCGGTCATATCATTCTTCATCACGGAATCCCCAACGGTAAGAGGACCAGTAGGGGAGACGAAGGATGGGCGCCATATGTTGTCTGGAGAAGGCGGGGCTACCTCTTCAACAAGGTTCAAGTCAAAACGACGGTCGGAGGGGCCAGACATTTTCAAAGGTGTTGAAGAGAGAAGAGGTCGGACAAATCAAGATCTTAGAAGTGCAAGAATGGAGCTTCTACTGGTGGATATTCAAGTGTGCTTTGGAACTTAATGTCAGCCCCTATAAAAATCTGCACTCGACGAAGCTTCAGAAATCGAAGAGGCGCCTGCTCAGAAATCGAAGAGGCGTTTGCTTTCTCAAAAGCTGGGCTGCTCAGAGACCACGAGGGTCGATCTCAGAAATCAAAGAGGCGTTTGCTTTCTCAAAAGCTGGGCTGCTCAAAGACCACGAAGGCCGATCTCAGAAATCGAAGAGGCTTGCTTTCTCAAAAGATGGGATGCTCAGAGACCACGAGGGCCGATCTCAGAAATCGAAGAGGCACCTACTTTTCCAGCCTTGTCAGCACCTGTCACACGCACACTCAGCTGTGCGGAAATTATGGGCATTCTGTCGAAGATTTCTGACGAAGTAGAAAGCACATGAATCGTACTGTTCAATCACCCACTTCCCACACGCAACAGTAGCTCATGGGTACCACAGATAACTTTGCCAAAGTTCTCTGACAAAGTTGAGACACGTGAAGCTTGCAGCTCCCACTACATCGCTCTGACCAAGAAGGGTAAAAGAATTGCAAAGAAACAACACTAACAAAGTTTAAACACATAAATTTTGAAGGTCTAGCTACCATATTATTACCCACAAGGGTAAAGGAACAGTACCACTGCTGGATAATTGGAAAGTCCCGGTGTGTCAACCTCTGTGCTTCGTGGCAAGCTAGACTAGCAAACATGCCCAACCTGTACTCACATTCGAGAAAACACTCCCAACAAGATTGCTTGCTCCAAAATCAAAGAGGCACCGCCCTCCGAATCTCGAGAGCCAGACTCCCAACATGATTACTTTCTCAATAATCGAAGAGAGGGTAAAGGAACAGTACCACTGCTGGATAATTGGAAAGTCCCTGTGTGTCAACCTTTGTGCTTCGTGGCAAGGTATACTAGCAAACATGCCCAACCTTTACTCACATTCGAGAAAACACTCCCAACAAGATTGCTTGCTCCAAAATCGAAGAGGCACCGTCCTCCGAATCTCGAGAGCCAGACTCCCAACATGATTACTTTCTCAAAAATCGAAGAGAGGGTAAAGGAACAGTACCACTGCTGGATAATTGGAAAGTCCCTGTGTGTCAACCTCTGTGCTTCGTGGCAAGGTAGACTAGCAA